ATAAGCACCTCTAAAGGAATTCGATACCAGGCCATGACTAAGTTCTTATTCCAGAAGTTCATACAGTCTCGAAAATGATTCACACTGAAAATAAGTAAGATAGTCGAATTAATGGATTAATCGTCTTAGAAAAGGCATAGCTTGCCTTGAGTGTCACATCTGTTCTGTGACCTATTAGAACCCATGGCTGTATAGTGGATTTGTATCGTCGTCACGATTTCCACAAATTAATACTAAATTCCGCCGTCGGTACTGGTAAGACCTAGGCAAGGTGGAAACTGCAGTCTGGACTTGAGTTGAGAACCTTTTGGAAGACAAAATTAAGTAGATATCAATGTCATCGTGAAGCCCTCTTATACCAACTTATATCGACTAATATACAACTATTAGCCCTCAGATCACCTAAAGTAAGATAGGTTAACTAGGTTCTGCCTTTATAATGTTTTAATAGTTCGACTTGATTCTGGATGAATAATGCCATGTTAGTCCAGATAGCAATAGCCTGAACTGGCCAATCACATTCACTTGATTTAATTTAGTTCTATACAGACCCCACCTTTCGCCATTTCTTTAACCAAACAAAAGGATTTTAAAACTTTCGGACGCGAGACCATGAAGAGTGTGTAAATTGACTAATACAATCAAAATGACACCGTTGTGTATCAGAGTAAATGTAGGAATGAAAATTTGCTAAGTTGAGGTTATGCAGAAAAAAAAGATCCATAAGTCAGGACATAACGTACACATCGGTCCAGTTGTGCTCTGCAGCCAATTCAATAGCCTTGACATATTCGCCCGCCTCGATGTACATGGTAGCCGCCTTACGATGCTCTTTAGTGATGCGCGCCCAGTCTGCCTGCCTCGTCACCAGTTGACGCTGTGCCTCAGTAATCGGTGCAACCGACGCAACCAAATGACCCGGAGAAGAGAAGATCTGCTGATGCTGTGGTTGCTGCTGCTTTGGGCTGCCGGCGGTACCGCTCAACGCCTGCATAGCAGCCATCTCGTTGCGAGCCTCTGCAAACATTCGCAAATCGGAGTAGAGATCGATGGCACGCTGAGGCTGTCCAGCGTGACGGAATATTCGTGCAGCTTCTGCAAACTGGCCCAAGTATGCGTAAACCTCTCCTAATGCCACAAGTAAGTGGTTGCGATGAGGCCCCGTAAGCTGACCAGCCAACTGGATTGATGTCGATATTCCAACGCCTGAAGTCGGAGAGTTGCCGGAGGACGCAAACGTGCCATTTACTTTTCCCGTAGCCAGCTGGCAACGGCCAGAAATGCTGCCGCCATGAGAGCTTTCTTTATTTACTCCCCCTTCGAGTAGGCCGGATAGAGCTGCAGCATGAAGGGATGATGGCCATTCACCGCATTTTTGACGTTGCTAGGATAAACAGTTTTAGAGAAGTGATGTGGAAAATGAAATTGCTCTAAATTGGAGCATATGAAATATAACATAATTTTTGTGCTTGCAAGAAAGAAACATATGAAAATGAATAAAAGTATGAGGATGAATAAAGTGAATTTATAGAGCAATATATAAATTATTTCATCATATTATATCGATAAGTGAGTGTTTGCTTTTCTATGTATATTTGTTTAAGCGTTAATAGATTATTTCCTTGATATTGAGCCATTAAATTGTTCGAGATACAATTATGGAGAACAGAAGAAAAACAAAAGAAAAACAGATAGTGGATGGAAGAAAAATAGTGTAGTACGAAGAGATTTCACTTTTATAAAACGCATTTCGCCGTGAAAAAATTATCAAGTGCCCAGTCATGCCACAGCATATGAAGGCACTAAAGAAATCATAGTAAAGGAAAGAGATACTGAAGTTCAGCTAAGCTAAAGGCAACGAAACAATTCATTTAATTGAAAATTGCCATTATAGTCAATTTAGTAGGCTTTTGCAGGATTCTGGGGAAAATCAAAAAAGGCTACATATCGAAAAAGCAGCAAATGTTGTGAATATGGAAGAGTATCCTCATATGATGCCTAGCGGATAACCTCTGTGGAGATTGTGTAGTTTGCCTTATTAGCACAAAGCGGCATTCATCTACATCCAAATTAGCCTATTACAAGTATGTCCTCCCACAGCAAGCTTAATAACCAGCTGACAAATCATTCAAAACTGGTCAA